TACTGCATAGATCAATTCAAGGGACTTATAATAAAACTTACATTTATGTATTAATTTAATTCTCACATTTCCCTATAATCAGTATCCATACAAAGATTTTAATTCTAATTACTTATTAAAGTGTTTGTAAAGATAACAAATTGACGCACAAGTTAAATTAGTAAATTAGTAAAGCATATTTTTTGAATACTTAATGATTTGATTTGACTGTACTTGAAAGTAAAAGCACTTGCTGATTATTTTAATAACTACCTGTAATATATTAGTTAAATTATCATTATAATACTTGAGTTAATGAAATAATATTTAAAACGTTTAACACTATTGTAATAAGTAATAACTAAACTAAATAGTAAGAAAATTTTGTAGGAAAATCAAAAATATTAATGGGCTTTTATTTTTCAATCATGAAATTAAGGTTCATAAATTAAATTTACATCATCAGATTTTTGTAATATTTCCATATACCAATCAAATATAATATTAGTAGTGTAAGAGGTCATTTTTATAATTTATAGAATTATTGTTCTTAATACATTAATCTTTAAGAGATATAGTATTTTTTAAAAACATTTTGCATTCCTATATTATAATTATGACAATAATAATATATTTTTTATTGACTTTGATAAATTGATAAATCTTTTAATTTTATAGTATACTATATATATTTTATAGTGTAATAGATTATTATTACACTGTTTTATTCATAATTTGGTAGGTACCAGAATTGTATCAAGATTATATTAATTTATTTACCTTTTTATAAATATCAGTTTGAACATAAACCAATAGTCATAGAAAATATTATTTTATAAAAAATACCTTATCAAGTATAATTCAATTTTAGATAAATGATATGATATAGACGGGTATATAATTGCATGATATTTTGTTATTTTTATTTGTTTTATTGTCTGTCATGATTGTAATGGTTTTCAAAAATCGTATTTATGGTTTTTCCCCTATTATTATGAAAACTTCTTTGGGTATCAAAAAACAACTTTCTTTGTGAGTAGCTATATATTAACATTGGTTAACTAAAAGATCTGATATTAGGGACGGGTACGGTCACTGTTATAAGTGTGTAGTTACGAAGGTGGGATACATAAAAGGTATTTAATTTATACCTGTAACTAAAGATAAATCATTGCTATTAAAAAACGATTTAGAGCGAAGTTCTATTATACATGTTTTTAAAGACTGTAATATTTAGGATTTTCGTCAAAAATTTAATTTTAAAATTTATAAAAAAAAAAACTGCGATACACTCAACTTTTATTTTACCACTAAGTTTAACTTATAATGAACCTTCTGTTAAATGTTCATGCATTTTTGTTTAGTCTCACAGTTTTATCTACTAAGTATCTACCAAATAAAAAAAAAATTGCTCAAATGTTTTGGAAATGTTACCACGTCTATAAATAGACAGAATGTTAAGTCTAGAAATATTTTTAACTGAATTACATTAAAAGATCAAAATTTAAAATAATAAAACAAATTTTTTATAAATTTTCCCTTACTTTTTTTACGTATTCTTCGGTTTTGTTTAATTATTTTAAAAACTACAAAGAAAATTTAAAAAGGTGTCTTGTTGTTTTTCTATTGGAGCAATATTTATGTTAGAAAACAAACAGTAAACATTTTAAATAATGAAATTATTGCCATAATTTAAAACCGGATCAGCCTGAAAATTAAAAAATATACCTGACCAGTCCCGGTCCATTAATTTTTATTTGAAGTTAAACCCAAAAAAGCATGTTCGCAATTTTTTAGTATATGATATTTATATAGTGTATCACAAATTTGTTGAGAGTCAATTGACTATTTTGACAATGAAGTCAAATTGATAGTAGACCATTTTGGTACAATTAAAATTCATAGTAACCGGTTAGGTTGTGACAACAGTGAATATATTTGTTTAACTTACATCCTTTGTAGATGAATTACCCATCCTATAGTTAAAAAATAATAAGAGACTTATTTTGTACGATAATATGACAATAACAACAACTTGAACGGCTACCATATTAATGATAACATGGCCTAGATACCGCGCTGATAATTTAACGAGGATAAATAATATTTCTGGAGGGGGTGATAAAAAGTCATTGAATGTTACAGCCTATCCGTGATAGTCACAAAATGTGACCAATTTGCATCCAGTGTGACCGGTGAAACCAAACAAATTTCACCATTTTGTAACTAATTCCAATTTTGAGCGAGAAATAGTCACCTGTTACTTTCAACAAAATTGTGAGTATATACTGTTGACAAACACCACTGACATAGGTCAGAGAGCGAGTAGCGGTGAAATTAAAAAATAAAATATAAAATTTAGTTTATTTTGGGTGAATATTGATCCATCCATAACCAACCCAAAATTTTTTTCTTATAACCCAGCTGGAGATGAGCTCGTCCAGTCCCTGCTGATCTTCACCAGAAATCAAACCTTATTATTCATTATAAAATACATTATTGTCATTGTGACCATACTAATATTTTCTAGAACGTATGGTATGACAATATTACACTGTACTGTGTATGTTGATAAAATGTATATTTTGAAACTAGATATACAAAATTCAAAATATTAATTAGTAATATGTTTATTTTATTATCTATGAGCACCCTAAACATTATTAAATAATTAATTAGTTCAGGGCAAAACAGTAATTATTTTTGTTGTTGTTTTAGAATTTTATTATGTTTTTTATAGCTGATATGTTATATTTATAGTTAAATTGTTACGAAAAAAAATTGTTTTCATACTTTTGCTACTGTCCTAGTTATTCAATATTTCTTGTTTAAATACACATTAACTATTTCTAGGTTTTTTTTAATATTCATAAAATTGTTTTTTTTTGTTTTAATCAATTTAATGTCAAATGACAGGAATCTATGTTAATCTATGATGTTAATAATATGTGAATCTGAATTATAGTTTTTTATTATGTTAATTTTTTTTTTTATTGCACAAATTTTTCATTTTTGGATTTTTAAACAAAAACCTATGAAATATTTATTAGTGAATCTTTGATTGTTCTAAATTATTTTATTAGGAAAATTATAACAATACGTTTTTATAAATATTTGTCATCAATATTTGCTATTAATTTTAAGTGCAATAAGTCCCGAGACTTACACTAAACAAAATAAATAGATTTAGTGTTTAGGTACTTTTAGACCTTCTAAAGAACAATACGCCAATGCGGGTCTGTAAATTGTATATTTTGACGGTATTTAACAATTATTATATTTATTAATTTTTTTCAGTCGGCAATCATTAAAATAATAATATTATGTAATGTGGATTATGACATTTGACCGCTAGATAGCACCACCAAAGTACTCTCCCGATAATAAGGGTATTATATCCGGACATTAATTGCCGGACCTAATAATCTAATTTTATTAGATAAGGATCAATTGTTGATATTCCTATAGCCAGAGTAAATTTAGCTCTTATGTTTAAAATTAGAATAATTTTGGTTTAAAAATATATCTACGTAGGTAGTTAATGTTTATTAAAATACGTTTAAGTTTAATTTCAGTGTCTTTTACTTGTACGTATATCGTTTCCACCAACGCTAAAATTGGTTACTGTTTGATACCAGATATTATTTTTAAAAACTAAATCCTTCCCCCCCCCCCTTTTTTTTTCTGTTCACCGAAACAGGTTTTCGGTTTTCACGTTAGCTTAGGAACCAATCAGTGGTGTGCCGTGATACTTTATATTGGCTAGGCACTAAAATAAAAACTTCTAGTTAAATCTTCAAAAAAAAAAAAGGTATCTTATTGATACAAATTACAATTTAAAATTGATTTATAGATTAAATTCTTAATTCTTTCTTTTTTCACAAATACAATAATATATTAATATTAAAATAATATTAATACATTAATAGTTAATTTACCCGTGTAATATATATTAAAAGTGCATTGTAAATGACAATAATCCTATATGCAACGGAAAAATATTGGAATTACATACTTACGTTTTTAAAATCATTGAAATGCGCGCTCGGCACAGCGCTTCTAACCACCGTATTATAAAATCGCAGATATCCCCTTCTACCACAACCGGTCGTTTTCATAATAACGATACGTGCTGAACAATCTAAAATACGAGTGCTTCTGTAAAGAAATTGCCTATACAAAAAAAAATTAATTAAATTTCTTTCAAAGAAACCAAATGAATTGTTTTAAATTGAATATTCATGTAAGAATTAATAAATAGTAGTGACATTAATATTATATAAGTCGCATTATCATTTAACTTAATAAATGTTAAACCTTTTATTTCTTCGTTTTTGGCTGGTCATGCGACGCTTTCATAGTTTACCCTGAAGGCACGCCACTGGAACCAATACATCCTAAATACGAACTTGCTTACACCAAAAAAATGCCGTCTTTTACATAGTGCTACTCTAAGCATAGGTCTGAGTTGCCTATTTTCCGCCGGCCCTAATAATGAGATACAAATAATAGAAAATAATATAACATTAATTATTATTTCTGTACCTACCTAAATAATGTGTGTAGGTTTATTGTATTATAACATTATACAATTTGGAGTGGTTAAAAATAAGAAAAGACGGAACTACTATATTGATTAGATAGATCATTGTTGAAATTCAAGTACGTAGTTATAAAAAAAACTGGTTTTGATTGATAACCATTGAATATGCATATTTAATTTTGTTAACAATTAATGCATTTATGTAGTGTTGTTTTAATGTGTAGTCACGTCAATTTTAATTATCTATACAAAAAATAAAGATTTAATTTATGCAATACACCTACACTTCAAAATGTATTGCCTTTATTGTTAAGTGTATAATCACAACTATAAAATAATGTGTTTTGTGAAGATTGTTAGTTACAAATATAAATTAATGAATGTTTATTTATTTTGTACGATTATGATGAATATTAAACATTTAGTTTTAATTTTTAATTTTATTATGGTTTTATTTGTTATGTTTAGATTTTGAACAATGGGTCGATACAGTGGCAAAAAATGTCGTCTCATCACCATGTTTTGGTTGACTACATTTTTCTTTTTGGTGGAGATTATTGTCGGCTATATAACCAACTCAATGGCCCTTGTTGCTGACAGCTTTCATATGCTTAGTGACATAGCTGCTTTGGTAGTCGCATATTTATCAGTAAAAGTAAGTGGTTCTTGAAGATCAAAGTAAAATGATTCATATGCAGTCGTTTTTATTGTTGAACACTCATTATGTTAAAATAATTAACTTTTTTCACAGCTAATTTTTTTAATAGTTTTCCAATCAAGCAGCTCTTTTTAATTGTTACTTTACTATTATTTTTTATCACCCTTATTTTTGCAGGTGGAACAACTACTTACTTTTGATTAAAAATATAGATGACAAAAAATATTGGTAATGTAGATAGCAACTTTAGAGCTGCTTGATTCTCAAAGTTTGAGTTTATTTTTGGAAATATGAATGTTAAGCAATAAAAGGACCACTATAGAACAGCCCAAAAAAAATTTTTTGATATATATATCTAAACCAATATAATAGTTTAAATATTTTGTTAAAGTATAATTATATTTTATGCATTTTTCATCAAAAGTTATTAAAATTAAGTATAAATACAATTCATAAATTGGATCTAATCAGTGATATTGTCATGATTAGTTTTGTTTCCATCCTTATAAATATATAATTGATTAAATATTTAATCAGTGGTAGTACCTAAGTAACTTAAATAATTAACTGCTTGCTTTGGATAATTATAATTAATTTATAAAAAAAGTTTGATATTATTTTATTTGTATAATATGCACAAATATGCTCTAAAAATGTACAAAATCCTAAAATATGTCCTAAAAATCCATAAACTACAAAATATCTATGCAATATGGTACTTATCGGTAATCGGACTACCGCAGTAATAAGATGATAGAGATTTTGAGTGGTGGTTATTATTAGTATCAGTTATCAGTACTTATTGATTATTCCATCTATAATGCATTTTCACTTTACCCTGTTACTTATACCTGACATAGTTTTACACAACAAATCTAGGGATATTATTAATTAAAATTGTACAAGTTTGCACAGTAAAAAGATAAATAAAAATAGAAAGGAAGTTGAAATAACCAATAAGTACCTGCAATTAAAAATATTATATATAGAAGCATTTGGTTATAAAATACATTTCAGTATTAGTTATTTTTTTGATCAACCAATGAAAATATGTAAAATAATATAAATATAAGCAATTAATTAAATAAAAAATAATTACTAAATACAACACATTTCACAATTTCAAGTAGTATTATAAATATAATATGCATACATGTTATACACTTAATTGCAATAAAAATGTAAGCAGACTATTGTTATTATTATTATTTATACAAAATAGCATAGATCATGAATTTAACATTTTAGGTTTCTAATGATAACAATATAATAATATACTAGCAAAGTTGATGAAACCATGAAATTACTTAACACTATCAAAGAATGAAAATGAATATGATCAGCCATGTTCTGAGACACGGAAGATGAACTTCTATATACTATAATAGAAGGGAAGATAGAGGGTGACCAAAAACATCTTACATTAAAAAAGTTATATTGATGCAAGTCTAACAAATGACAAAGAATCGAAAATGCTTTCTGGTGACAGAGATGGATAGAGAAAATTGCAGTCACAGCTAGTCTACTAGAAACCTTACTCTAATTCAGTGGTGTGCAACTTTTTTTGATCCACGGCCCCCAAATTAATTTATTTCGATGAGGTGGCTCCCATCCTACTAACATTACATAAGTGTATAATACGTATATATTTACTTAATGCATACAATAATTATAGTCATATAAATTAAATCGTTAATTTTAGGTAATTTTAATATGTGTTTAATTAATTCATTAATATTATGATTTTGAATTAAAAAATTATATGATTTACTGAGACTATAATGTGTTTTTTTTGCTATCTGAACAATTTACTCTTCTACCAAAAGTATGGACTATAACACCTTTTCTGAAAGATAATTTTCTCTCTTTGGTGCATTGGGGAGGTCATTTTTTGATTTTCCAAGTAATCAGGAAAACCGAAAAAAAATTGTTTTAAGTAAAACAGCAAATATTAACGTTTTCATTATTTTTATTATGTTAACGCAATTTTTTCTACCAGAAATATTGCTCCAATTCAAAAATGACATAACATCGATTTTATTCCTTATAATATTTTGCCACTGACAGAGTTGAAGATCGATTCCCACTGATCCGGGCCGGAGCCTTTCCTGGTTTTAAAAAATTATTTTCTTATTGATTTTATATCTTACAATTCAAAATTGTCTTGCCGGATCTGAGTCGAAAAAATATTGTTCCAAACAATTCGCTCTCCGGGTTCCCGGTCGGGTTTACGCTGATTCGGACACTTCGCGACCAGTGTGAATAATAAACCAGGCTGTGTCGCGTGTTTTTCATTAATTTGTCATTCGTATAAATTTCGAAAAAGCCATCGGTCGTTAATTAAATTTAAGTTGTTTAACTAAAATATTTAACAATAATTTTAATATTTAACTTTAACCATTTTAACAATGGATGCCTAAAAACTCATGGAGTTGGTGCGCCGACACCCGGGTCTTTATTGTTATTTATGATATGATATATTTAGTACTTACTTGAAATAATAGGCATACAGAAAACACGTGGTTTTTGTTTCGATTGTGACTGATGACTGAATTAAAATAGCATGTTGTAAATAAAATAAAATTGTAAACCCGGACTAGTGTGAATACATGATTTGACTCAATCCAGACGTGTCGTTTCGTATCATGTACCCGGCTCGGACCAATGGGAATCGACCTTTAGTCGTTTTTCGATACCTAAAGTAGTTTTTGTAATAATTGGGAAAAACCAGCAAATTAAAATTGATTAATATTTAAGGCAACAAAGTGCCACGGTTAATTATTTTAATATGTTCCAATTTTTTTTTTCTATTGGAAATATTATTTCAATCGAAAAATGACAAGAGGGTCGATTTTTGTTCTTTGAACACAACCACTGATTAAGGAAGCAATTTTTTACATTTTAAGCATTTTTCATAATAATTAAGAAAAACCAAAAAAAGACGAAATATAAGATTTTTTCTAAATTTCATTATTTTAAATTTTCACGGCTTATGTTTTCTACCATAAATATTGCTGCAATAGATAAACGATTAGAGACGTTTTTTATTCTATTTTTAATCTAGTTCATGAATAAGTTACTTTGTTTTTTTAATTTTCTCTGTAGTTTTATTAATAATTAGGGAAAAAACGTAAAATGAAAACTGACAAATGTATGGCATTATAATTTCCTTATTTTACATTTTTATTGCTTGTTTTCTACTATACATATTGCTCCAATAAAAAAATACGAAAAAATATTTTTTATTGAATTTTTTATCTAGTTAGTGAACAAGTCTTTTTTAAATTTTCTTTGTAGTTTTTTTTTAATAATTTAAGCAAAATTGAAAAAAAATACAGAAAGTACCAGAAAATGTACGAAAATAATTTTTTTATTATTTTCAATTTTTTTTTTTTTTTTTATGTGTAATTTGGTTTAGTATATTCATAAAGACTTGACATTTTGACAAAAAACTTTTTATATTTGCTTTTTCTAGGCATTGTAAAATGTTCAAAACATTTGAGCTAATTTTAGACATTATATTTGCGAGTTTTGTACGCAATTTTTATTCGGTAGGTACTCTCTGGATAAATTTGTTAGACTAAATAAAAATGCTTAAAAATTTAACAGGAGGTTTCTTAAATATAGTAATTTGTGGTCAAAAAAAAAAAATTAAGTTTTATATAGTATTTTTTTAAAGGAATTTTGACGAAAATCGTTTAAGTAAAAAATTATGTGCAACAAATTTAGCTACTGATCTGTGTAAATTTTTAATTTTTGTTTGATTTGATCATATGTATGCCTAGTGGTGGTATGTATCTGATATTATTACAGGAATTGTTAGTTAAACCTGAGTTTTGCAAAAACAATGTTTTCAAAACCACGTCAGGTATGTAACATGGAAGATAAATTAATTTTGTTTCACAAAAAATAAAGTTGAGTAATTATTATTATTTTTTTTTTCTATAAGTTTTAAAAACAAATTTTGAAGAAAATCAAATATGACCTTTCAAAACAAGTATAATCAAACTTGGTTCCGAATCATTTTTTTTCGTTTTCAATCGTATATTTTTGGTAACAGATATAAATTAAATAACTTTATGTATCCCACCTTCTTCATTCTACCCACTTACACCGCTCCAGTATCAGCCTTTTTTTTTCAATTGGGTTTTGTGTAAGGAATACATATAAAGAGAAATAAAATTTTTATTTTCATTTCTTAATCACTGAAAAAAAATACCTTTTATTTTATCAATTAAAATTTGTATAAAATATATTATTCTAAAAATTTTAATGTACCATACCTTCATATCTGATCAATAATTTCTTAGTAATAACCGTTTTAATTTCTATGATAAAATCTTTTACAAAATGGCTATTTTGAAAAGTAATTTTTTTTTCAGCATTTAAGGGTTGTAAATATAAATTTAATTTTTCTTTGCATATGTACCCATGTTGCACAAAAAGTGTGTTAAAAAAAAAAAAAATGAACATCAACAGAATAATTAATATAAGGATAACACTGAATACAATAATTATTTCAATTTATGTAGTAATATTTAATAGTAACCAATATAAACTTATAATTAACATATAATATTATAACAATATCCAAGTATAAAGTAAGAGAAAAAACCACATGATAAAGAATTAGAAAAAATAATAATTGCAATATTGGACTTTACCAATATTAGTTAATTTTATCCTACCAAATCTCGTTTATTAAAGTCCAAACTATTTAATTCATTCGGAATTTGACCATTTTGTATATCCATAGTTTTACCAAGATTAAGCAATGTCAGAAATTGGGACATTTGAGATCCGAAATTCGGAGATTTAGCAACCCACATTTACTGGTAAATACTAGGTTTCACTGGTATTTTTACTTTTACCATAACATTAATATCTACAACATATTTAAAACACTGCCCTATTATAAAATCGACTATTTAATTTAAATTATGAATATGTTTCTACTTTGACAAATACTGTGAGAATATTGTATGAATACAAATTATGTTCATATTAAGCAATTATAGCAACTATTCATTAAAGCAACTTTTTAAAAATTGCACCAAATTATTATCCTAATTTTTGTAGAGTCTAGTTTAATAATTAAATCATTATCTTTAGATGTCGCCAAAAAAATGGTCGAAAAACACATTTGGTTGGGCAAGAGCCGAAGTACTCGGGGCACTAGTAAATGCTGTATTTTTAGTAGCTCTGTGTTTTTCAATTACCGTTGAAGCATGTAAAAGGTATGTATATTAAATATAAATTGTATACAAATAGTTTACACAAATTGTATTTTATGATTATATTTTTTTTTTAGGTTCATTGAAATAGAAACCATTCATAACCCTAAATTCATAGTTGTAGTTGGGGTCTTGGGATTATTTGTCAACATTTTAGGATTATTTTTGTTTCACGGTAACATAATTATTATATTTTTCTAAAGTTCATGTTCATAATATGTAACATAATTAATTTTGACAATTTAGCTCATGGAGGAGGACATGGACATTCCCATGGTGGTATATCGCGTAGTCATACACGACTCACCCAATTGGTAAGCGCAGGGGCAAGTGCCAATGCCACAGATGATAACGAGAACGATCATCGTTTTAACGTGCCAACCAGTCATGCCCATAATGAATCATCAGCCGGTCATATGAATATGCGAGGAGTCTTTTTACACCTTCTAGCAGACGCATTAGGTTCAGTCATTGTAATTGTATCAGCTTTGGTACGTATTGATGTTAAATTTCCTCATAATTAAATTCAAATAGTCAACAAAAGTTTTTTTTTGTGTATAATTTACAGATTAATTATTTTTATTTTCAACTGAATATTCTTTTAGAGAATACAATTGGAATCCCAACATGTATTGGCCTATTGCCCATTTTAAACAAATTAGAAAAATCACTTCTTGTTTATATGTTCAGGTTATCTTAATTTAAAATATTTAGCCACAAAATGTGGAATTATTGATGTATTTAATTATGTATGAAATAAATATAATTAAAACAACACTTACCTATTCAATATTTAATTAATATAAAATGTTAACAATATACTTGTTTTTAGATTGTGTGGTTAACTAATTGGGAATACCGTGATTACATTGATCCTGCTTTGAGTTTATTGATGGTGATTATTATACTGCATTCAGTATGGCCATTGTTACAAGAGTCCGCACTCATATTACTTCAGACAGTTCCTACTCATATACAAGTGGATGCCATACAGCAAAGACTATTAGATAGAGTTGACGGAGTTTTAGCTGTACATGAGTTTCACGTATGGCAGTTAGCGGGTGATAGAATTATAGCATCTGCACATATTAGGTATTTTTAATTAAATTATAAACATATTTAAATTATTAAAAATATATCACCATATTCTTTAGGTGTAGAAATCTATCAGAGTACATGAAGTTAGCAGAGAAAGTTAAAGAATTTTTTCACAATGAAGGTATTCATTCAACTACTATTCAGCCTGAATTTGTAGAGGTTGAGGTATGTGTACCATAATCATAGTGTTCATAGTTATGAGTTTAAATGTGCTAATGTATTACCTGTTATAATTATATTCATTACAAATTATAGGTAACTGAAAATTCTGAAAAGAATGAAAACCAAACTCCTACGGAAGACTGTGTATTGGATTGTCCTAAAACAGATATACAATGTCAACTGCAAACATGTTGTGGCCCATCAAAACAAGTAAATGTGTTCAGAATATTTTTTTATGAAATTATTAAATAATTAATATCGATCAATAATAATAATTTTATTATTCAGGGTCGTGACACTCCATCACCAGTTGATACTCCGTATTTGTGCAGACAGCGTAATACTACTTCTGTAACTATTGATACCACCAACTGTTTACAAACCGGTAACACTCAAGAGAATGAAATGGAAAGTGGTGCCTTATTAGGTGATAGAATTAACAGTTGTCGGACTTCTGGAGGATTTCTGACTGGTGGATAGTGCTTCTCTACCCTATAATAATTTTGTTTTTTTTTTTTTTTAACTATTATTACTATTATTAATTATTAATTAATATTAATAACTTAGCACATGGTTTTGATTATACCTATTTTATAAATGAAACCTACCATGTAAAAAAAAAGAAAAAGAAAATGTAAAACTTTTACTCATTACCTGATTTTTAACTTGCAGGCTAATTTTATTTACACCGAATCTTCAAAGATTTTTTTTCGTGATAATCAAGTTATGATATGGCCCAAAATATTAAAACTGTATAATTATTTTATTTTTTCTTGCTATGCAATGTTAGAAGATCAAAACTTTAACAATTTTACATGTTTATCATGTTATATGTAAACATAAACAAAATAATTTTAAGTTTCTTATATTTTTAAACAATCGTAATGATTTATTATTAATGCTCAAGTATTGACGTTTACTATGGATCTGTATTTGTTTGAAGTAATATTTGACGTGTTGTAAATAAAACCAAAATATTGTAAACATTTTAAATTTTACAATATTTTATAAATAGCTTATTCATTTGATTAATTCCTTATGTATCACATAAGTTATTAATCATTATTTTGTTTAATGTCTTATGATTAAGAAATTTTAAATTTCTAATGTTTATGTAAAAAATAAAATAAATTTTAAAACTACATGTTGTATACCATAAAATATATTAAATAATTATAGTTTAAATATGATTTTGAAATAGTCAAGATTATATTTTATTATTATATAAAGTATAGATAAAATATAATATAAGATCTATAACATTCATTATTGTTAAAAATATTTAAATAAACACTCAAACACACTGTATATTGTAGTAAAAATAATATTGAGTATTATCTATTTAAATAAAAATTATTTGTTATGTTTTTCAGTAATATTGACATTTTCTTGTTTTTTTTATGTACACAATTATTACAAAAATAAAATTTGTATAACATACAATAATTTTATATCATTAAGAGATGGTTGTCCTATAGTGGTAATAGCTTAGCTATATCTTTAGCTAATATCTTAGAACTTTAATGATAAATTAAAAGTTGTTTAATCTTTTATTGAACTTAATAAATAATTTGTTAAATTTAGTTGTGATATTTTCTTAAATAAAATGTAATTAGTTGTTAACTAGATTTATAATTCAAATAGTTTCTATTAAAATTATATTGAAAAATAATATTAAAAAAAGAAGTCCTAGGATAATGGGGACGAGTGCAGCCACTGTTATAGATACTTTAATGTATAAACCATTGCTTGCGAAAAAACGATTCTGAGCAGAGTTCAGTTGCTTGTGATGCTTTTTTAACGTGGCGGACAACCGTATAGTGCGTATGTACCCTAAAGTCCCCTCTGTAGATATAATATAACCTCCACCCGATGTGGGCTTCAATGGTACCAGAGCTTTGTTTATATTAACGAGGTCTTTATGACTCGACCTCGGTGCGTGATATTTACTATGGGGATAGAGGTAACCTTGGTCACCGATGCGTACTAATTGAGTCTCGCATATCTGATTGAAAACAAATAATATACTAATTAAGTCCCGAGTAAAAACGAAAAATCAGTGGTTGGAAATAGAGCGCTAATTGTAGTATCAATACAGTAGCACACTACTTTATTAATAATGATAAATGTAGTATCCCTTCAGTATTCACAATGTAGCGAAATACTATAATACGCTAAAAATTTCACAAGTAGCATAGCGAAAATTGTCGGTAGTAATTAAATGTTGAATGTTCTGTCATCAATTTCCAAATTTTAATTTGAGCAACTTCAAGCAACCTTAACCTATTTTATTAGGATTAACGCCAATCAAATTTTCACAAACTAGTATAATAATATATTATTATTATTATATATTTATTTATTAACGCTATTAGGGTACAAATACTGTAATAATTAATATGACGATTGAGACAAATATGAAAAATGATTAAATTTAACAGAAAAAAAAACCATTAAAAAAGAAACAAGGAAAAGAGAGAACAGAGAACTTAGTATAAACTGCATAATATTTTTGGTAACGTACGTGGAAAATATCAATATTATTAGCATTATTTAAGGTGCGTAGTGTACGGCCATTAAGGGCTGCAGAACCATAATTCGTTGTGTGAAAATTACATTTAAATGTCGTTAAATGGTGTTACTATTAAATCAATTTTACTAAGTACCTAAATTAAAAGCATCAATAGAACCTTTGAGTAACTTATAGATAAATGCTATACTAGAATTATGCGCCTATTAGATAGTGAAGCAATATTTAACTGGAGCCCACGGTGAAATAGAAGCGTAGATAGGAATTTTTTTTGGATCTTGCTTAATCTTTCAATGGAGTTATTATGGTAAGGTGACCAAATAATCGAATCATATTCAAGAACTGACCTAACGAGTGAATTGTTTAAGATAATACAAGTTTTAATATTAGAAAACTCATTTGTATTACGATTAATAAAACCAAGTAGGTGAAGTTTTTTTACAGATAAAGTTAATATGATCATTAAAAGAAAGATTTGAAGAAAACACAACACCAAGGTCTTTAATAATAGGAACAGATGAGAGAGGAAAGGAGTTAATTTAATAAGCTAAATTAATGCGGCATCGAGATCGAGTAAATTATATTATGTTACATTTTTTTAACATTTATAGATAAATTATTATTTAAACATCACGAATAAAAATTATCTGTAAACATTTCTGTAGTATCTCATAATCGGATATATTCCGATTATAACAGTTTTAAATAATTTTAAATTAGGTGATTTGCAATTAGGGGAGCAGTGAGAAACATTATTAATGCAAATATTAAATAACCAAGAAGATAAGTGTCCACCTTGGGGAACACCAAATGTAGATAACTGCTATTGGGGATGAATAATAAATATAGATCTTCAATATTTGAGTACGAGAGCTAAGGTATGAATCAAATCAGGATAATAGAGGATTCAAAATGATAACATTTCTCAATTTGGATAATAATAAATTATGATTAACGCTATCAAATGCCTTTGGAAGATCAGTATAGATTGCACCCATTTGCAAGTTTATGCGGTTTACCAATTGCCAAGTCATCCCAAAGTCAGCTATGGCCAATAGTTGAATCAGTACTTGGATTTAATAATGTGTTTATAATAGGAATTTATCATGGACATTGAAAGCCAGCCGATAGTTTTCAGTATCTAGAAGACTTTGGTAATGAAGTAAAATGTATTATTGAAAATGGTATTATATATGAAAAAATTAAGTATGATTGTGTGTTCAAATTAATATCGGCAGACTCTCCAGCAAAATCATTTATTGTAAATACAAAAGGTCATTCTGGTTATGTTAGCTGTACAAAGTGTCTACATATATGATACCTATGTAGAAAGAAGAATTTGTTTTTCTGATATACCCGGAGTAAAAAGAATTAATTAATTAAAGTAACAATGATTATAAAACAAAACTAGATCAATCGTTTCATTCTGGATCAAGCACTTTAGAAAATATACCTAAGTTAGGTCTAGTTAAAAATGTTCCCTTGGATTATTTACACTTAATTTGTATTGGAGTTATGAAAAAACTCTGGGCCTCTGGATCGTTTCAGTTTCAAGTTTGAAAGCTTTAATCAACATATAAAAAAATGATACGCAAGAACGAAAAACCATTTAAAGTGATACCAGAAGAAGAAGAAGAAGAATATATGAATTTGATCAAATCTAATTACATGAAAAATCTTACAACAATTCATCGTCAAATGATATAATGGTACATTAAAAATCATATATTGCTATGAAATACATACTTTCAAACAAATTGGCTACCTTGAATACTTATGCTGGAATGAACAAGGATAAAAAGGCATTGGAATACTATCAAATCCATAATATAATTTTAGGTAAATAATCTTAATCTAGCAGACAAAATTGAATTCAATTAATTAATTTCTTTAATAGTAAATTATATATATATTAGACATACTCTTACAGTTGCTCAATTAATGCAATGTGTATGTTATAATATATTCAATATGACCAAAATTGTAAATTGAACTTATTACCAGGAACTACCAATAGAGACATAATTAGACTATCATGTCATGGTTTGAACATGCCATTGATATATATAGAAATAAATATAAACGTTGTGTATGAAAATAACATTAATAAACCTAAACTTTAGCTTATTAAGTTTATAACTAACCATTATTGACGAAACTTTTTTTTTGTTACTTCTAAGTTAATAAATGTGTATATCTAATATTTATATTTACTAATTATACTTAATTATTATAAAATAATTTATTAAAACTTAAAAGTTACATATTATGTATTAAAGTGACGTGTAGAACTATACTATAGTATTCTGATTAATAAGTATATATGCTCTACACATAGAATATGTAAATATTTAAATGTATTAATAAACCAAATGTGTAAATCCTTTAAGTTTATTGACCTCATATAAAATATTAATATGCATTTTGCAATATTTTTTTAATATTACTTCTATTAAAATACTAATGTATAGCTTCAGTTAAATATTATTTTTATTCTTATTATTATTGCATCGTTTATAGTTTATTTAATATTTATAATATTATAATATATTAATAGTTATTATTTGTTTTATTTATGCCAATTACACATTTTAATTTGTATCGCTAATGTTTTTGATTAAATATTGTTAAAAAAATAAATATTAAAATTTTTAATTGCAAATACAATTAATCATTGGAATAATTACAGGTACCTAATGAATGAGTATTCTATTGGTTTTCAAAATGAAGTTTTTTAGTTTTCAAAAGGAAGTAATTTGCTTTCCAAAGGGATATATGTTGGTAATCACATGACAGTAAAAGAGTAAGGTGTTGGCTTTCGGTTGGATAAAAAAAATAAAAATAAATGATGTCTCATGGACATCCCAGTACGGCTAATTTCTGGACGTGGACATTAGAGTATTCATTTGACGTCACATGGACAGCTTTTCTAAATTGCCCATTGTCCTATAAGGACATACAGTGGTAGTCTGATGATTGACTTAGTACTGTTAGGATGTGCACCCACTTCAACAGAATCAAGAAGAAACGAATGAAAAGTTACTAAATTGGTGAAAGTAGATCTACATTGCCTAAAACCATGCTGTTCATTAATAAAAATATAAGAAATACAAAGTTCAAAGAGCCGATGTCTGCAGTGCCGGCCCTAGGGAAGTAGAGGGGGTAAGTGGTACAGTCGCATATTATGTATTCTGAATATTACTTTATCTATAAATAATCATAATAATATTGTCCCAATAGTAGGTACGTAAATTGAGATTTGCAAATTGAAAATTGCCTGTGTGGCCGTGTGGCTTTCTTTAGAACACGAGTTGTTATCGACGAGGGTAGAACACAATTTCGTACGGTCCATATCAGCGAACGGAATCGTGCACATTTTAAGATACATTCCGTTCAATTTTTACCTAAGATTTTAGTGTAGTGTTGCATGATTTTCATAACAGGGCTTATTCTGAAGCGCATTTATGCTTATTTTGAATATTTGATAATCAATTTTCGCGCAATTGTTTTTTTTTTTTTTAATTTATTGTTATATTAATAATATTAAATAGCATAAATAAACAAATAATAAATACTATTTGTAGTAAATAGTAATTACGTGTGGTGAACAATAAGGTATTACTAAACATGTTCAATCAACAAAATATTCGATTCAACAACATACAATAACATTTTTGTTAAATATTTGTAGTAAAAATGTGTATACAATTTATACTATTTAAGTATCAAATTTTGAACTTTTTAACAATAAATAATAAATGGCAACATTGCCCAGAGAATCGGGTTGTTTTTTTAGTTGTTTAGGTTTGTTTCGGGTTGTTTAGGTCAATTTGATAATCCATTGTTTGATCAAAATCATACGGAATCGTGCTTTACCGATCGACGAAAATCAAGATAGTAGGTACCAATTATAAATAGCTTAACACATTGTTATGGACTTGACAACACTTTAAACATATTTTATCAGCAATCGAATATGGTATTGCCGATTCTTTGAGTTAAAATGAAACAATTGACCTGTTTGCATAAAACAAAAAAGTACAAAAAAGACGTCCTAGGATAATGGGGACGAGTGCAGCTACTGTTATAGATAATCTGAACGTATAAACCAATTGCATAGACATTTTGCTTACGAAAAAACGATTCTGAGCGGAGTTCAGTTGACAGTGATGCTTTGTCAACAATATATATATTATTTTATAGTCAAATAATTAAATAGGCTTTATATGTTTTCTTTAATAATATTTGCTTCATATAATCATTAAAATTATTTTTCTTGTATATATGTAATTCTTCTAAAAATGAATTAATGTAAATGTTATTTAGGGTGTTCAATATAAAAGTTCATATTATAGTTATTTTTTAAATACATTTTCTTAAATAGAAATAATTTCAATTTAAATACTATTAAAAAAAATGAATAAATGTTAAATACCCAAATTAACATTTAAATTAATTAAGTTTTAGAAGAATTAATAATTCTTTTATTAATTAATTAAACAATTTTAATAATATGTTAAATGTAAAACCAATTTTAAAATAATTTCTTATATCAATACATTTTAGATAATAAATAATAACCAAATAATTTATATTTCTTAACATATATCTATGTAATAAGAACCCACTTTAAATAATCTTATCTTTACTATTAAAATAAATTATTTCTATGTAAAAAGACCAATTTGTATAATTTTAAATTATGAGTGTTGCGAAGAATTTATTAGTTTTACTAAGATGTTTATTTTTTTTATACTGTGTACACAAATTCTACCATAAATCTTGCTCAGTTATATACGCACGGCACCATTTTTGAAAGGGAATGTTGTCCAGATGGTATTATTAGGAAGTCATTTTTTGATTTTCCAAGTGGTTTTCATAATATTTGGGAAAAGTCAGAATGAAAATTAAGAAATTAATATAATAACTTATATATATATATATATATATATATATATATG